TCTATATATATAACAGACTGAGAATTTATGTTCCTATGTCCCATATAGTTCGCTCTCTCTATAATGAACCTTCCGTCCCTATATGTAACTTTTCTGCCTTTTTTCGTTATATAAAATGTTTACTAAAGATGTTCGTTATAGAGAGAGAAATTGGCAAAAGCGTAAATTTTCTATTTAATATCAAAATAAATAGAAATAATAAATTTAATGCAAATAATAACCATATTATTAAATAGCAAAAGAAAATTACATGTTTTTAATTCTTTGCTAATGAGTTCTCAAGGTAAGTGGCATTTATTTGTATGTAAATTGGAGCATCAATAAACATTCTAATTTAAAAATATGAGTTTTTTGGAAGCAATTAGATGAGTTGAGGGATGGTAGTAGAAGTCAATGACAAGATAACAACATATCTCCATATACTCTACATAGTAATACCTATTCTTCATGGAAGTTATATCAAATTTTCTTTTTACTTTGAACAAAACATGGGGAGCTTCCTGTAATTAATATAATTAATACATTATTGAGAATTAAAACATTAATTTATTTTTAAATAATGTAAGGAACATGAGAAAAAAGGAACATATACAGATCATTCTTTTTATAATGAACCTTTCGTCCATATATGTAACATATAGAGTGTTGTTTACTAAGATGTTCGTCATAAAGAAAGCAATTAGTTATAAAAAAATGAATCAGGGAAGTTCATATAGAGAGAGTAAATTGTAACCTGTTTGTTTGTCAATTTTGTTTGTCATAAAAGAAAAGGACAATGTTATGTTTAATATTAATTAATATATTTTAAAATAAAGTATGCTAAGTTTTGCGAAATTACTTCAAAAAGCGCCTATGATATGCTCATCCACCATCGATTATTATCGTCACGGACCAACTCAACCATCATGGAATTTGAAGTTTTATTTGATGTTCAAAATTGTAAAAGATGGGTTTGCATCATCAACCAGTCAAACCATTGAAGATGTTCAAGCAATGCATAATATAAAAACAGCTGTCGATGATGGTGTACTTGTAGATGAGCTGACATTGTCAAATTCACTTCGTAAAAAATCAGAAGTTTACATTGATGA